AGTAGGAACTGAGGGAGTCTGGAGGCTAGCGTGGACCTTGATGTGCTGAAAAGTGCCACAGATATGTGTGAATTGTGTCCCTTTTGACGGAGATAAAGGAAATGACTCCTTTTGGCACACGGGAACTGGCTTCACAAGTTCCTGAGGGATTCTGGCTTTTATCTAGCCACCAGAGATCCTCCTGGAGCCCGGGTTGAGCTTGTTTCTGGATATTTGGACTGTCTTGTGGAGTTTGGGGAACTGGAGTTTCCTTTGGACCTGACATCCAGGAGCTCCCAGAGACTGAAGTCATTTCAGTGGAGCCTTCCATGGTTTGAAGGATCTTAAGTGATAACCCATAAAACATCTCCCCAGAAAAAGCAATATCATCTCCCCAGACCTGTCCAGTAATAGTCGTAACTCTCAGGAGGACAAAATCATGTGGATGATGATGATGATGGTGTGTGTGTATATGTGTTATACATTTGTGTGTTCACATGTGTGTGAGAAATGTGTGTGTGCATGCATGTGGGAGGGCAGAAGCCAGGAGTTGGTGCTGGTGTCTGTATCAGTCTATCTCTCTCTCATATATTGACGCACAGTTCACTTGAATCCAGAGCTTACTGATTGACTAGTCTCACTACCCAGCTTGCTCTAGGGCTCCTGTCTCTGCCTTTGGAACAAAGATTATAGGCAGGCTGCTGCATCTGCTCAAATGGACATGAACCAGCTATAAAAATTCCAGGCTCCTTAATTGCATGGCAAGCTCTTTACCCATGGAGTCATCTCTCCAGCCCTGATTTTTGAAGTATTATTATTTTTTATGCCTGCCTGATCATGCATGCTACATCTTTTCTTTCATTTCACAGGAACCTCTGGACTAACCGTTCTACTTTTACTAATGTATGTAATTCTCATTGGATAAGTATATAATTCACAGAGCAATTTTTTAAAGCATCATTTAGATACTTTTAGATCATTTAAACCTCTAAGTTTATCTGATAACATGCCATATTTAGATGTATTTGTTTGCCATATATGAGCGTATTAGATGGCTATTAAATTAAAATAAATAAGCAAAACCACAGTCTTGGCAGGCAGACTAGAACCAGAATCTGGAAGTGCTTCTCCCTGTCCCCAGATCATAGCCAGATTTTTAAAATGCAAGCATGCCTTTCACATCACTTATCCTAAGCTTGCCACCTGGTAGTTTTCTGTCAGCTTGACACAAGCTAGAGTTATCCAAGAAGAGGAAGCTCAATTGGAAAAATGCCTCCACCTGACTGGCCTGTAGGCAGGTGTATGGAGTGTTGTCTTGATGAATGATTGATGTGGGAGGGCAGGGCCACCACTGGGCAGGTGGTCCTGAGTTGTATAAGGAAACAGGTTGAGCAAGCCAGTAAGCAGCGATTCTCCATGGCCTCTACTTCAGTTCCTGCCTCTCAGTTCCTGCCTTGAGTTCCTGTCCCGAGTTCCCTCAGGGATGGACAGCAACTGTGGGCTGAGCTGGCTGGTTTCATTATAGTACTTTCAAGCACAATTTGTTCCTGTTGCTCTCTCCCTTCCATTCTTCCCCAGCCCCTTGCAACCCTCCACCTCAGCAGCATTTTCGTCTTTCATGCGACATGTCTCTATGAACCTACCCCTTTCCTCAACATTTCTTTTTTCTATTTTAGTGGTTCCCTTTCCAGTCTCATGCCATGCCCCCATACATACATACATACATACATACATACATACATACATACATACACACACACACACATACATACAATCATTAACAGGTAGGATCCATATGAGAAAAAAACATGTATTTGTCTTCCTGGACCCGGATTACTTCAGTTCATATACTATTTTCCAGATCTATCCAGTTTCCTGAGATCTTCATTTTTTTTTCATGACTGGGTATAATTCCATATGATGAATTCTTACGTACAGCACCCACCATCATGTTTATTAAAGGATATTGCCGAGTTAAAAGACCCTGGTGTGTAAATCTGCAATCCTATCCCCTTATCAGTAACCATTTAATGATTTTGTAACTCAGTTATCATCAACCAGAATGGGGACTTCAAGTAAGGAACAGAGCAGGAAGAAGTGAGTCCCGTCACTGGGTCATGCTTCCCCCTCTCACAGTTTAGCAAAGAAGTCTGGGTCATAGACAGCTATGGTTCAGTGAAGGTCTAAACTACATGCGAAGTCCATGGAGTGAGTTCAGTCAAGCTCATAACACACTAAGGGCCAGGGTCAGTGTTAGCTATAGGAAGCCATGGATTATGAAGACATCAAGGACCACGGGTTTATTTTAGCTAGCCTTAGTTGAGTGGAGATGGAAGCAGAATCCTCAGGCTCTGGGAGATGTCCAGGCAGCAATCACCATCCGAAGTGTCCTGTGAGTCGCGTTCTACCCAGACCCTTGCTCTCCCAGAAGAGCGGCTGCAATGGTGAGCTTGGCTACAGCCTCCTCTCTCAGGCAGTCTTCCACCTGCCCTGCTCCCTCTGGCTACCTCTGCCTGAAGTGCGCGGAGGAGGAGGAACACGAGGAGGCCGTCCTGAGGAGGAAGGCAGATGAGTGAGCTCCCGGGGAAAAACAGCTCCTGCCTCTGTATGTCCTTGTGAACTGGCGGCAAGCAGGTGGCTCACGTCAGCATTTGGTGGGAGCTTCATAAATGGTTCTTCATCCAGACAAAATGTATGAAGGCCCTACTGTGAACTAAATACTATACCAGCCGGCCCGGATGCTCCAGTGCGCAGACTCGGGTATGTTCCCTGCCCTCGTGCGGCCTCTCATCTAAAGAGAAAGCCAGATATGAATAACTACAAAAACAATTGCAAATAATAGCCAGGAAAAGGATGGTGTGGAGGAATATATACACCTAGGAGGGTTGATGATTCTGAGACATCCGAGGAAGCCACCTTCCTGAGAAGCGGCTTCCCACAACCGGAAGCAATTCTGTCAGCTCGAATCTTTGCAGGACGCCAGCACAATGACCTGCTCTTTCGTATCTAGCAGTGTGCCCCGTGGGCAGGGTACCAGCTCTCTACACCTTGGCGCAGATTTCACTGTTTATTAAAGTAATATTGAATGTAAGTTAGGGAACTAGCTTTCTGAAAGCTGCCACAATCTAACAGAACCCGAAGCTTAATGTATGCCTGTCGCAAGCCAAGTTCCCATTGATTCCCAAGTCATTTGTCAGGGCGTAATAGGGAATGTGAAGAGAAACAGTAATTTGACTCCTCAGAAACTGTAGAATATCCATACTTCACCATGTGGGGAGCCAAAACTCCTGCAGAAAAACCTGAGACCCAAGCTGACTCATCTATTAATTAGGGATACCCAGACAGAGTAAGATGAGCTGAGTTCCATTTGCAAACCCTCCAGTCCCTAAATTTTAAAGTTAACATTTTAGTTTGTGATCTCGAAATGAAGAATAACAAGTTCTTATATAAACTTTCCCCTTAGTTGCTTATGTAAGAAGAGAGGAAAATGTGCCAATGAGACGGTTCAGTGGGCAAGGGCGCCTGCTACCAAACCTGATGACCAGAGCATGTTCTCTCTCTCTCTCTCTCTCTCTCTCTCTCTCTCTCTCTCTCTCTCTCTCCCCTCTGCCAATCTAAGTCCAAGTCCATGAGATCCATCTAACAAAAATTAACAAGAGAATATATACTAACTTACTTAAATAAATCTTATTTGGCCCAACAGTCTTTACATAAAAATGACAACCCAAAGAATGAGTGTGTGTATGTGTGTGTGTGTGTGTGTGTGTGTGTGTGTGTGTATGCATACATGTGCTTATGTGTATGTAGGAACACAAGCTCATACGTGTGCACACAGAGACCAGAGGTCAACGGCAGGGAGACCAGAGGTCAACGGCAGGTGTCGTCCTCTGTTATACCCACCTTATCATCATCACTAATATTTATTTTGTGTATATATTGTGTACACACATGCCACTTTGCACACTTGGAGATCAGAGGGACAACCTGAGGGAGTCCATTTTCTCCTGACACCACGTGGGTCCCAGGGATCAAACTCGGGTTTTCAGGCTTGACAGAAAGCAACCTGCCTGCCAAGCCATGTCACCAGCCCTCCACCAGGTCTTCTGAGACAGCGTCTCTCACCGAGTCTGGAGCTGGTCATTTCGATTACATAACAACCTCCCCAGGATCCATTTGTCTCCACTACCCAGTGCTGGAGTCACAGATCTGTAACCAGCTTTGTGTGTGTGTGTGTGTGTGTGTGTGTGTGTGTGTGTGTGTGTGTGTGTTTGTGTGTGTGTATGTGTGTGTGTCCATGTGTGTGTGTATGTATGTGTGTGTATGTGTGTGTGTGTATGTGTGTGTGTACATGTGAGTGTGTGTGTGTGTGTGTGTCGAGGATCAGAACTTGGCTCCTCATGTTTACATAGCAAACATCTTACCCACTGAGCCCTCTCCCCAGCCCGAGACACGAGTGTGTTTGGTGAAGGATAGAGAGTGACAGAGAACATGGAGGACAAAAGTTGTGAGCCATACTGATGATTAGCGGGGATGGGACTCCGTGAGGCCTGTTTGTTGCAGTTCCACAGCTGCCCTGAATCTCTGGAGATAAGGATGCTGCTTGCTTGTGCTTGGGAATGAGAGAACCACCTCTCCCATGGGGTCTTGGACTCTGTTTCTGAGGAGAGTCAGGAAAAGATTTATTTTACCTGGCTCATAGGAGATAGGTCAGGGGAACTCAGGATGGCTTCCTCATTTCTGCTGTTCAGATACACAACTTGAGTCACATGATCATATCGGAAGACCACATTCCATCTTAACTCTGGAAAAAACTGGTTTACATTTCAATATGAAGAGCTGACCTCTTGTCTATGCGTGCTTCTTATTGAAACTGATACCTATGATTATGCATGATATCCATGGTAGCTATAACAAATACGAGAGCCAAAAGAATCAGAGGAAACATTTGCTATCAAATTTAAATACTCAATTTTAATTTCATTAAAGTTCTTTTTATTTTAGTATCCTTGAATAAAAAAAAACAGCCTTATGCCAAAAGGAGGCAAGATATATAAATGCAAATAAATGTATGAACAAATACACAGGCCCTCTTAAGTAATTTACCAAATAGAAACTGCCCATCTGTGTAGGAAAAACCATCCTGCACCTGCAGCACAACCCAGTGAGAAGATTTTCTTCCTTGGTCATTCTTGGTTTTTCAAGATGAAGTCTTCAGGTCCATGCTGAGCGGGATAATGATGGGTGCTAGAGGTAAGCACTCTGTTGCTCTTCCATGGCTCCATCAGTTTGTCCTTGGTTCACAGCAGCTCCTGACACACTCCCGTCACATTGATCTCGTGGGTCAGAGAGACACTCTCCAGTTGGTTCTCATCAGTCAGGGTCTCACCGCTGCTATTCACCTATCCGTACTGCCTCAGCAGACCCAAACTCTTCAAAGTCTTTGGTCCAGATTGTCCAAGGATAGCCTGAAAGGGTTTTTTTTTCATGCAAACAAATATTATTCACCTAAACAGTTTCTTACGTACTGTCTAAAATTAGAATTAGTAGAGAACAAATTTAAATCATTCATTTCAAACACTGTATCCTATGATATGAAATATCTTCCTCTGTCACTAACTGGGGGCTCTCTCCACTACTGTGTTATACAACGATGCCCCTGGCGTATCCCTACAAGGATGGCCTTGGAGTGACGAGAAACTTGTAAGTGTAGGACAGAGGAAAGCTAGGGATTCCTCTCGCCTCTGCTACCACAGGACCTTTGGCATCTTCTCAGTGGAAAGAGGAGATTGGTGCAGGTCTCTGTCTGTTAAGACCGCCCATGGTAATGGTGGGACAGCAGTCTTCCACTCCACATGTTTATTTAGGATCTAGCAAAAGCTGGGCATCTTGTCCTCTGACTGGCAGCTCCACCGTCACTTGTCACTGGGATTGAAGCTCCTCGACTCTCATATCCCCACTAACGGCCATGTTACTTTTGCCAATGAGTAGAGTTCTTGACATCAAGTTCATATTTGAGCAAGTAACCAAAGTGGCACATGTTTATCCATCCGTGAGCTTGAATAGTCCCGGCATGAGGAGCAGCGCGGGAGGAATCAGACACAGTGCTCAGGAGTGTTTTCTCGGCACACTCATTAATCAAACCTGGGGATTTCTAGACAACCGCAGACCCTGCCAGACTTTCTTCTTGAACACACACCATGTCGCTAGGTTTCCACTTTGCATACTGGCCATTTGGGCGGAATCTTTAATTACCTCTCCAGATCTGCTCTCCACTTCATTCTACCGGCTCGGTAGCCTTCCAGAAGGCTACACAAGCCGCCTCGGCTTGGCTTAGTCTCTCTATCTCTGGTTGGCCTCGGCCAGTGGAGAACACCGGCACAGTTGAGAAAAGGCAGGCCAGGGTTTGTGTTGTTGCTGTTCTGTTTGTTTCTCTCTCTCTCTCTCTCTCTCTCTCTCTCTCTCTCTCTCTCTCTCTCTCTCTCTCTCTCTCTCTCTCTCTCTTCAGGGCTACCAAAGGCTACAGTATCCTTTGATCCAGGTCAAACCTCTTATCAGACAATCTTCCTACACAAACATTCTCTCCCACTGCCCCTGGAGTTTCCACATCTTCTCTTAATAGAACCTTTATTAAACTCTTCTTGACTTACTCAATTTGAATAAAACACCGTTTTCTTGCTAGAGCCTGGGCTGATAACCTCTCAAGTACTATGAAGTCTTAGTGACAAGGCCAGCCATGATGAAGCCCAATGGGAAGGTACCCAGAGTCACCAGTCACCACTTTTCCTCCACATTTCTGTTGCCATCTTTTTTTTTTTTTTTTTTTTTTTTTGATTTTTCGAGACAGGTTTTCTCTGTGTAGCTTTGCGCCTTTCCTGGAACTCACTTGGTAGCCCCCAGGCTGGCCTCGAACTCACAGAGATCTGCCTGGCTCTGCCTCCCGAGTGCTGGGATTAAAGGCATGCGCCACCACTGCCCGGCTTCTGTTGCCATCTTTACATATCAAACATGGCCACATGTCATTGTAGCCGCTTAAGACATATTTGCCGAATGAAGGGAGAGCATCTCAAAGACACTTCTGAGCATAGTTTTCGATTAGAACATATTCAATCAAGGCACACTCATCTAGAGTATGCTAAGTTTGAACTTTTATTTCAGTGACTAGGTGGATGGGTTCAACCGCACAAATCTCATGCTCCCTTTTCTCATGCTCTGGCTGGTTTGCGGCTCAACTCCAAGACAAGCAATGCCAAGGGATGAGCTGACATTTCAGGGACAGCTGAACAGACCGAGAGATTAGTCTAATAGACCGAGAGATTAGCTTGCTGATCCTTCCTAAATCTTAGAGAAAATGGGGACTTCTGCTAGTGTCGCCTGATTCCAGTGGGCCGGCTTCTCAAGTCTATCACTTCTGTGCCCGCCGCCCAGACAGAAATGTGGATGTCGTGTTTACCATGCACCAGTCAAATCGTCAATAAGGTCGAGCATCACTCACCGTGGGTATTGATCTTGCTGGGGCACTGCAGAAGTGACTTCGAATTCTGGTATTGGGGGGAGCACCTCCACGACCTGGGCTGAGGGCAGCCCTCGAGTGGACTCTGCAGTTCAAGACAGAGAGCTGTGTCAGTCAATAGCAAGGCAACAAGAAATTGTAATGTGTTGGACAAGAACCCTGCCCTCCATTTTAAAAGAATTTGGGCAGTTTATATCACTCATTCAATGTCCTTCGGATGATTCTGACACTTTAAGCCCACTTCACTCACTCCGTGGGGGCCTTCATTTCTTCCTTCAGCTTCCCACCCCGTTTTCTGATAACACAATCTGAGGCAGAGCTGAAATCACCGATAAAGCCAGCATTTATTCCACATTTAGTCTTCTAAAGGGTAAAATGACCAAACTTCCCCAACCAAGAGAGTCAGATGAGATCTGGAACAGTCTCTACCTGGGCCCAGAGCCCCCATCTCTGTTGTCTCCTCCCAGAACCCTTGCACTGGAGCCCTGAGCATCCTGTGGTTTTATTTCCTGGACAGTAAATATCAACCACATCTAGGGTACCATCTCTGTCGGCCCAGCCTCACACCGGCGTTCCCAGAAACGGTGATTAGCTTCTATTACGGGGTGAAGGTGAAGATATTTTACAGATGTAACCAGCATCCCAAACTGTTTGGTTTTGAGCTGATCAAAAGGGAGGTTATCTTGAGTGGGTCTGATCCTGATTTCATAATGAAGAAGAGACCCGGTCTTCTCAGATCAAGATCCCAAGATCAGAAAGATTCTAGCTGGATTAAAGAAGCAAACAGTCGTGTGGGACAGTAGGTGACATGAAGAGGCTGTGATTGGCCTTGGTACACAGCCAGCAAGAAGCCAAGGTCCTCAGTACACCGCAGTAAGGAAGTGAATTCTGCCAGGCACAAACTTGTGGATGAGACTGCGGCATGGCTGACCTCTTGTTCAGCTTTGGGAGTCTGAGCTGAGCCACACTCAGCTAAGGAGTGCTCAACTTCCAACCCACAGAAGCAGAGACAACACGTACATATTGTGTTAAGCCATTAATTCTCTAGTAATTGGTTACATGGTAGAAACTAATATATCAACAGATCTCAGCCTAAATGTCACCAGAGGCGATGATTAAAAATACAGGTTCTTGCCGGGCGGTGGTGGCGCACGCCTTTAATCCCAGCACTCGGGAGGCAGAGCCAGGCGGATCTCTGTGAGTTCGAGGCCAGCCTGGGCTACCAAGTGAGTCCCAGGAAAGGCGCAAAGCTACACAGAGAAACCCTGTCTAAAAACCAAAAAAAAAAAAAAAAAAAAAACAGGTTCTCAGGCTCTGTCCCAGATCTATTGGATTTGAATCTCCCTTCCTAGAAGCCGGGGAGCCTGGATGTTCTAGACTTCCAAAGTGACTTGGGTGCACATGAAAGCTTTCAGAATCAATTTTCTGTGCAAATAATTACTTAGACAACCCTTGACAAGACGTCTTGGGCCTTCTGTAATTTGAAATCTGGAGACTGCTCTTCTTAAAGGTTATAGCAAAAGAGCCTATTCATAAAATGAAGTAATTATCATGGAGAATGAATAAAGTTCTTCCGGATGGAGAGTCAGCCGCTCATCGCCTGCTTGTGGATTCAGTTTGTGGATGTTTTATAGCACAGTATAACCATAACATAGTATGAAAAGCTATTACCTGTCAAAATGACAGCTAGTCTGGAACATTCTCCAGTGGTACGTTATCTTTGGTTTCCCCTAGTGTCCAAAGTCATGCAACTCACATGCTAATAGCAAAACTTCTAAAGATTGATTTTTAAAACATCCAAAGTCAGATTAATGTGTGCCATTTTAATACCTTCTTCAGAATGGCTAAGACAGGTGAAATTTTTCCTCTCCCGCTGCACTGGAAAACAGAATTTCTTTCAAATACTATTAATTCACCGACTCTAGTTAAGGCAACACAAGCTGTCAGAAATATTTTAAAACATTATACATGTCTTTTCAGGAATTTGTCAATTCACCCAAATACTTGACGTTTTTCAGGAACCTCCAAAGAGCTTTAAAAAATTTAAAAGAACCCCAGTGTGAATTTCAACCTGACTGAGTCTCACAAACAGAATGGATTTGTAGAGGAAGGCCCTTATCACACTGCCTGTGTCAATCGATGTCCAGGCTGCCCTGAAATGCGATGCTTCCTCTTTCCACCATACCCTCAAGGACTTTTTTCAAAGGTCTTTTACATCTGAGACATCTGGGATCTAACCTCACTTCATCCTTCCAATGTCATTTTGTATTCCCTCTGTATAACCAGCAAGGTGTTTTCACATCACTTTGTTCCTGCTGGGTTTCCAGTTCAACACCAGGTTCATCTCCCACAAGAGAGCATATCTAAGCCTTCTTCTCTTGGTTGGGAAGCCTGTTTTCCCCATCAATTTTTTTTTATGTGTTTGCCTCCAAACAACTTGCTCAGTTACATTTTACTTTTTGTGTATGTGAAAGGAGGGTGGGGTGGGTGCTTGTGTGTGTGCAGGAGCATGGATGTGTGTGCACAAGTGAACATGTATGTATGCATAAAGAGGTCAGGCATGGAATTCCTCCTCAGGCCCTCTCCACCCTGTGCTGCTGTTTTGTTTTGAAAAAGGGTCTTTCACTGGCCTGAGGCTCACCCAAGGAGTCCAGGCTGCCTGGCCAGTGAGCCCCAGGGACCTGCCTGTCTCTGTCACCATAGTGAGCTTTTTCTATAGGTCCTGGATATTCTTGAATTGAGGTCCTCCTTCTTTGCAAGCGTTTTGGTAACTGACTTACTTAATTTTGTTGTGATTGTTTATTTGTCTTGGAAAGTGTCAGTTAAGCCCACAGTAAGACAAAGGCTGGGTTGGAATGGGGATGTTCATGGTGGGTAGCAAGGGGGACCTGAGGGTCCAGGCAGGGACCATCTGGGCAAAGATGGAGGACATGTTCAGAGCATATGTTCTGCAATCTGTTCTTCCAGAGCTGGTATAAATGGCTGTCACATAAAGGCATTCGATGAATGCCTATAATAAATCATTCTATTCCAGCTGTGGACTCTATTCTAGCTGTGGACTCTTCACGCGTATGAACTTCCTCCTACAAAGAGACTCATCCTTTTTATTTTGGTCTAGTCTATAACCAAGCAGATAGCTATAACCTTCTCTGCTTTATGAACCCAACCTGCATTTTAAGAGTCATCAATATTATGGGTAAAGCAGGTAAAAACTAAATTGTCGTGTGATCTTGCTTAGTTGCAAAAGCATCTGGAATCAGTCATTTATCTTCTTCTCTACCACAGGAGATTAAAACCTGCACGGTCTTTATTATCCTGGCTGTAAACACGCTGGGAATTGTAACTTTACATTGCCATTAGCTTTATTTGGGGGTACTATGAATCAGGCCATTCCCCCACTTTTGACTCTCACTAAGCCTCTTTCACCGTAAAAGTCCATTTTCCCTTCTCTGTGTTACCTAGAGCCCGCCCACATTAACTGCAGGAAAGAAAATGCTTTTAACCCATGTTGAATCGTCTCTTGTGAGAACTCACACTGTCACACACGCTGCTACAGCTTTCTAGAGGGAACATGCTTCATCTCCATTTCCAGGGTTAGATGTACAGAGCAAGAAGAGCTTTGATATGAACCAGCCTGATCCCCAGGTCATCGCTCCTGTTGAAGACTGTGCTACAGAGTGCACTGTTTGGAAAGAACTGATTAAATCCTGACTCTGCTAGGCACTACCTATAAACCAGTAACTTCAATCATTTATCATAAAATTCCATCGTCTTTGCTTCATGAACATTTAGTTGCTTTAACCAGTAAACCAGTTACTTAAACTCTCTGAGATTCGGTTTTCTCATCAGAGGAAGAGCGAAACACTTATGAAATTAAGCGCATTGATTTGTGTGCAAGTACGGCACAGATATCAGCACAAGTGCTTGATACAACAAGGGTTTCTCTTATCTAAGGCAGCCTGGAATAGATGCTCTTTAACTGTGCTGGGGATCCTGTGGAGGAAGAACTCTGCCTAGAGTACCAGTGTTTGCTGGGATGGTCGGAGTTGAGTAAAACTTCGTTAGAGAATTAAAGGAGAAGAGCTTTGAGTTTTGACAATTTCACCATTTGAGGCAAGACGTGGAATGACTCTGCCTCCCCTTCGGAGCGGAAGCGATGATGCCAGAACCCTGGGGCAGATGTTACAGAATGGCTGCCCAGAAAACAGGTGGACATCTCATGGGTCATCTCAAGAACACAGAAGGCAATGGCTGGCGAGATGGCTCAGCAATTAAGAGCCCTTGCTGGTCTTGCAGCTGACTATGACTACCTGTTAACTCCAGTTTCAGGGGACCTGATGCCCCCTGCTGGCCCCCACAGGCATTGCATGAACATGGTGCACCTACAGAAAAGTAGGCGCACACACATAAATAAAAATAAATTTTAAAAACTTTTTTAAAAAGAACTTAGAAATCCAAAGAGATGATAATCCCTCTCCCAGATGCTCCTCCTTGGGCGTGTGATCCAGGGAAAGATTCAAAGCCACTATCTGGCCAAATGGCACACCCAACAGTAGAGATACCAGGAAGTTCTTTCTTGCCATCCCGTTTCCAGGCTATGACTTGGGCTATATTGTTTGCCGCCTTGGCCTCCTAAACTCCTGTTTATCTTCTTGTATCAGATTCCTTCATTTTGTTAAGGCTTCTTCGGGCAACTTGCTGATTCCCCCAATCAATTATCTTTTGCAGTCGTCAAAAGACTTCGCAGTGTTTGCATCCCATTCTTTACGTCCAAAGGGCACTTCCTATGGCCTTGGTCTTGATTTCTCTCTATAGTCAAACCATCGATCATTGTTTCCAGAGGATTTTGTTGTTAATGATGTTGTTAGTTTTTTGTATTGCTAGAGATTAAATCTACGATCCTTCTCACACTAGGCAAAAGCTGTAGCCCTTAGAGGTCCCTTTTAAGGCTACCATGGTGGTTTAAATGAGAGTATCTCCCCTAGAACATATTTAAAACATTCGGTGCCTAGTTGGTGGTGCTCTTTGGGGGATGTTTAGGCAGTATGGCCTTGTTGGAGGAAGTGAGTTCTTAGAGGCAGGCTTTGAGAGTTTAAAAACTTGCACCATTTCCAGTTTGTTCCTTCTGCTTTGTGCTTTGGGCTTGAAGATGTGAGCTCTCAGCTTCCTGCTTCCACTGCTGTGCCTCCCCACCATGATGGACTCTTATCCCTCTAGAACCATAAGCAGAAATAAATTCTTCCTTTTGTAAGTTGTTTCTGGTCCTGTTTATCACAGCAACAAAATGTAACTAATATTTCTCAAGACACCTTCCTCAAGTGTTGGAGGGGTAATCTGGCAGTTAACAGTGCTCACGGCTCTCCCAAAGGTCCTGGATTTGGGTCTAGAACCCACATCAGGCAGCTCACAACCACCTGTAACTCTAGCTCTTGGTGACCCAACACCCTTGTCTGTACTCTGTGGACAAACGGGTGTGTGTGTGTGTGTCTTTTAAAATGCCTTTCTTAAAATGGTCATTGTTTCTCATTGTTCTTCCATATCCTTAGCAATTCTACCAAATTTTCTGTCCCTGATTTTGGTGAAGGAGAATTATGTTCCTTCTGATCATTCTTGCCCTGTGCGTTCATGTTTGCCTTTCCCATCCTTAAGATTCATTTCTTTTCCAATTTTTAATTTTATTTCTGGCATTTTTTCAAGACAGGGTTTCACTATGTAGCTCTAGTTGTCCTAGAACTCATTATGTAGACCAGTCTGACTCTGAACTCACAGAGATCAGGCTGACTCTGCCTCCCGTGTGCTGGGATTAGGTGTACGCCATTACACCTGGGAAGATTCACTCTTGTTCACCCCCCCCCACCCCCACCCTGCACCCTTTCTTTCCCTGTTTCTCCCCAGGGCACTGCTGTCTCATAAACTTTTATCATGAATGAATGGCATTCCAAAAGCTATGCTACAGTGAGGGATACAGGGATAGGCAAAGCAAAGTCATCTCCCATGTGATGATAACTGAACAAATAACATGTTAAGGAAATTAATACCAAAACAGACAACAGGAACCGTCATGACTCTCAGGCGAGGAGGAAGATATCAGAGGCACACTTCTTCCACTTGGCTCTACTATGTGGCAGGCTCTGTACAGGATAGGATCATGGAGAGTTCTCCTTGTTTGTTTTACAGACGGTGGATGATTTGGGGATGGATGAGCCTCTCTGCATCTCAGTGTGTGTGCGGTTGTATGGCGACATTAGTTTTGTAGTTTATGAACCACAAAGCCATCCTGGTCTCAGTGGCTGGCACCAACAGCAGGCTCTGTTGAATGCAACACACGGGCATTGCTTTTTTGAATTCCTTTTCTTTTCTTTATGTTACTGTGTTTCCAGCGACTCATGCTGGCCCATTTCCCCTCTACCTCTCGAGCTGCTGCCTGTAATCCATCATGACAAAGAGCAGCCTTAAAAACAGCGCTCGGGGGAGACATGATTTTCTTTCCACTTCTCTCTCAGAAAGAGCAGCTTAGAATGGGAAAGGGGCTTTATTTAGGTTAAAGGAATATAAATAAGAAGGACCTACCTCTTTTCCTTTTGAAGATGCTAAGCCTCAAAAGGATTCTCAGTCTTTTTTTTTTTTTTTTTAAGGTCATCACCCTGGGTCTGCCCTGAGCATTACTACAACAAGCCTGATAATAAAGCCAGAGGGTTTTAAGTGAGAGCCATTTCAGAGAAGGCAGACCTGAGACAGCTTTTTCTGGGTTCAGGAAAGCCACAGGCTCATAAATATAACTTGTGAGGTTCATCTTGTCGCTAGCCAGGCCTTAAAATTTGTGACTCCCACAATGATCTGAGGTGACAGGGGAACAATTGACTTGCTCTCAGACAAGACTGCTGTACTCAGAATTACGGCTAGAAAACAGGAATGGCCAGGCTTCCTCAGGCAACCACAAACCTCAGCAGAGCTGGGATGAACCATTCCTGGGGTACGAGCAGGTACACTCGACAAGCGAGATGAACAAAGAATCATTTTCTCCCTTTAAAAAAAAAATGTTTTTCTCCTTAAAACAACTCTGGGGATTTTTTTATATCATTAATTAAACAAATTTTTTTATGAACCACATGAAATTTCCATTAACTTGACTCCTAGACAGCTGATGTTAAGTATTTTCTAACTAATGCTTACTATTAACCATGACTTAATAATTTGCTGATACCAACTAGGAAGTCTAAAATATTTAAAATTGAGATCTTTAGGTGCACCCACTATAACTTGCTCCCAGACTAAGGGTCTGTGTGACCACCTATTTCAGTAGGAGGCTTGGGCACCCAGTGCCCAGTGAAAGGCTGGGTGGGTCTCTAGGTGGCTGCTGTCCTCTGCAGTGGAAGGCAGGGGGTTGTCATGCTTCCTCTCGTGTTTGAAAAGAGTTTGCACACCAGAGCTGAAGCTTCCTGTTGGTCAAGCTTCTCATCAAGGGCAAAGGGGCTGTTCACCCACTGGAGACAAAGAATGTGAGGAACATCACTCGATTCTGTGGTTTTTCAAGGAGTCAAAAATACTCTTTCTTGCCAGGCGTATGAGCATAATCCGACCATGGGGGCACTGAGACAGGGGAACTACAAGCTTGAGGCCAGCCTGGGCTACATAGTAGCACCTTGTCTGACAGAGAAAAAGAGAGAAAGAATAGCCAGGAACTGTCACACAGACTGGAAGAGATTAAAATGAAAACTAATTGCAAGCCAGGCTTGTGACACAGACCTATACTACTGAGGCGGGAAGGTCACAGATTTGAGCCCCACCTCAGCTGTACAGTAAATTCAAGGCTAGCCTGAGCAATTTAGTGAGAGCTTGCCTGAAAATTAAAAAAAAAGCGGGGAGAGGCTGGGGGAGCATAGTTCAGTGGTGTACAGCGCTGCCTAGGATGCCCTAGGTTGCATTTCCAGTTTTTACAAAATCCTTTCTCTTTGGTGAAGAAAATGACCTTTCCCCCATGGATGCCACAGTGTTTCTTCTTAGTGTGCTTTGACAGCGGTAATTCTAAAGGAGGCCCAGCAATTAGGAAGAGATGAAGTTGGAACCAGAGCATCTGTGCTCACAGCCCTCCTAGCTGCTCTAATTAGGACCCCCTTACTCTCTCTCTCTGCTTCTCCGGAGAGGACAGGGGGCTTTTTAATTGAGGCTATTACAAGTTCTCTTTACACAACGACGCCCCACGAAGTGAAGGCCTCAGCAGAAGCTCTGCCCACTCTACAATTACTTCTTGCAATTCTGAGAAATAATGGTATCTTGTCTCATTTAAAAATAAATCCCAGGCTCATCCCCCCACGGCGTTCTCTCCCTTGCCTACTCACATGAGTTGCTTCTTGCCAATTAGGCAAACTTTGCATTATTTAAGGAGGTGGCTTTGATCATAACTGTCCCCTGATCGTGAGATGTACTTAGCTGGGTTTCATTTGCCCACAGTTCCTTTATTCTAAACTCAAGGCTACTTAAAATGAACTCGGATCTCGAGTTTGCTCGGTACTGAGAGGGTGCAGCTTTGGAATGCCCTGTCCTGCGCGCCATTTGATGCTGCAGAACTCACCTGGGATAACCCTCACATTCAACGTGCTCAGCTTCGCCGAGTCACTTCCTCTTAAGAGAAAGGCTGTAGATTTGGATTTATGACCTATTCCAAGAAAAGAAATGAAAGATTTAGATGACAAACGAGCACATTCTGCCAGCTGTGGCCATCTAGGCCTCTAATTGCACCACCTGGGAGGCTGAGGCAGGAGGATCTTGAGTTTGAAGGCAGCCTGGACTACGTAGTGGCCCCCGTCCCACTTCCTTCCAAAATCACATTCTTGTGTTGCCTGTGCTAGTTCAAAGGATTATCAAGGAGACAGAATAGTTCACAAGGGGGTCTGGAGCAGCAGGCACCAAGAGCTTTTATCATTACGTCTTCTTTTGCTAGCAAACACAGGGGCATGTGGGTATAAGCCTTTAACCCCGGCACTCTGAAGAAAGAGGCAGATACATCTCTGTGAGTTCAAGGCCAGCCAGAGCGACATAGTGAGCCCCTGTCTCAAAACAAACAAATAAACAAAAAAAGCATATAACAACAAAAAACCACAGACTCTTTCTAAAAGTAATGGTTTCTCCACTACCATAAATACTGTTATGTCCATCTGCTCATGAAAAGCACCAGCCCGTATTTACAAAATACTATTTTTATCTATAGGGATATGATATGCAGAATATTTAGGAAGCATTGCAGATTAATTGTATCTAGTGGCATGAGTACTATGTTTTTTTTATTGCTCTATATGCTTCAACTTGCAAGGAAAACCTTTGAAAGTCATCAAATTTGTCATCTGGACAGATGTTTGAGAAGATTTAAGGTACTTCCCACGTCTTTCTAGGTATTTTCCTACCTCGTATCTTTCTTTCTTAACCTGCATTCACATATGAAAAATGGTTCAAGGAACATAGAACTATGAATTATTTTCAACTACCACACATGTGCTTAAAATAACAAAGATTTCAATGCCTAGCAGACACCAAGTCTTTACTCTGACATTTTATTAACTGTGTCGATTTGGACCAAACTGCTAAATCACCTGAGTTTGGGAGTATTTCTCCTTTACATGCAAAAAACAAAAATAATAGTACTTTTTTACATACTGTTCTGACTTCATTCGGTGGCTATGACAAATACCAAGACCAAAACCGGGTAAGGTTTTATTTGTCTTATACTTCTGGGTCACAGTCTAGCCTTGAGGGGAATCAAGGGAGTCCTGCTTACTATTCTGCATGGTATCACTTCCCTGCCAGGGGACTCACTTCACAGCCAGGAAGTCAGCAGGAACCGCAGAGGCTGCTGCTTACTAGCTGGCTTGCAGAGTGGCTTATACTCAGCTAGTTTTCCAATACAGTTCAGGACCACCTGCTTGGGGATGGTGCTGCCCATGGTGGGCTTGGCCCTCCTACATCAGTTACGAATTGTGACAACTCCACTACTCCACAGACATGCCCAAAGGCCAATCAGATCTGGGCAACCTTAAGACTCCCTTCTGAGGTTATTCTTGGCTGTGTCAAGCTGACGGTTAAGGCCTTCCAGGACACATACTTTGATCATCTAGTGAAAATTGTCATTCTACAAATACACAACATGGTCGTGCCATTAACCATGACACTGAAGGCCTTGATTACTGACGTATCAGAGATAAGACTTGATCTGAAACTACTCTTAAAAATCCCTGCAACCAAGTCTTAAACCAGAGAATCAATGGCACCCTTGTTCGTCTGCAGGTGAACATTACTTATAACAACCTTGCCTGTCAAAGAACATAAGAGCCTAAGAAGTGAATGTGCCTGGTCATACTACAATCCTTCATTGAGATCCAGCTGTGCCAACCAAAAAAAAAAAAAAAAAAAAAAAAAAAAAAAAAGACAAAGCCAGGCAGTGGTGGCGCACACCTTTTTTTTTTTTTGGGGGGGGGGGGGGGTTTCGAGACAGGGTTTCTCTGTGTAGCTTTGCGCCTTTCCTGGAACTCGCTTTGGAGACCAGGCTGGCCTCAAACTCACAGAGATCCGCCTGGCTCTGCCTCCCGAATGCTGGGATTAAAGGTGTGCGCCACCAACGCCACCAACGCCGGGCGGTGGTGGCGCACGCCTTTAATCCCAGCACTCGGGAGGCAGAGCCAGGCGGATCTCTGTGAGTTTGAGGCCAGCCTGGTCTACAAATCGAGTTCCAAGACCACCAGGGTTATTACAGAGGAACCCGTCTCAAAAAACCCAGAGAAACAGAGAGAGAACTAGCTGTACCCTGACACTGTTCAACTTCTTGCATGATCTCTTTATTTCAGCCCTTACCCCAGCTCCATGTGGTAGAGGCAAGTACCCTGTAGGGCAGTTGAGGAAAGCCAGGTTTAGCGATGGTAACTCACTCAAAGCTATAGGAGGTAATCTGAGGATCCAACTTGAGTCTCTATGCCTTAAGAGCCTATTATCATGGTGATGCTTTTTATACTGTCTTTAAGAGATCATCTACTTACGTAAAACAGTCGATCAAGTCTGATATGCAGCCAGTGTATGCACCCATACACTTACAACCCATTCTGATAGGTGAGTGCCCAGGTCATACTAATTTTTAGACTGTTTAACACTGCTCCTACCATCCTGACTTACAAGACTCCTTTTAGTTCTGCCCCGCCAAAACTTTACCAACACCCCCTATACTTATTAAGGGTTGTTTACAGTCATATTGTCACCTAGAGACCACTCTACTTGAGGTCTTTAACTCTGCAAGTGTCACCACGTCATCTTCGGCCTCTCTCTGTCCTCACTTCCACTAAGCCCTCCCAGCCACCATCCCGACAACTCCTCCTTTTCATCCTGCCCTTCTTCTTGCCCATTTGCCCATCCATGTAGGAGAAAGGCCCATGAATGGTGGTGCTACCGTCTTCTCTATACTTTCAATCTTTTAGATTATCTGGAACCAGCATTTACACATAGTTGGTACACAGTAAGTGGCCAACCAAACTAAAAAGAAAATGTAGGGTGAACAAGTGTACATGTTTCCCTGGGCAAAGCCATGTGACAATGGGTTTATGTTTTTTGCGCTTTTGAGGAGCCTGCCATCCAGCTCCCAAATAAATCACACAAGGAGGCTTATTCTTAATCATAAATGCCCGGCCTTAGCTTGGCTTGTTTCTTGCCAGCTTTTCTTAAATTATTCCATCTACCTTTTGCCTCTGGACTTTTCCCATTCTCTTTCTTCTGTAAATCTTACTCTTACTCCATGGCTCACTGTGTAGCTGGGTGGCTGGACCCTGGAGTCGTCCTCGTCCTCGTCCTCGTCCTCCTCCTCCTCCTCCTCCTCCTCCTCCTCCTCCTCCTCCTCCTCCTCCTCCTCTGACTACTTCTTTCTACCTCTTCTCCCAGATTTCTCCTCCTATCTATTCTCTCTGCCTGCCAGCCCCACCGACCCTTTCTCCTGCCTCGCTATTGGCCGTTCAGTTCCTTATTAAAGACCATCAGGTGTTTTACACAGGCACAGTAACACAGCTGTACAGAGTTAAACAAATGCAACATAGACAAAAGTAGCACACCTTCATATTCCACTACAGGTTTTTTTCCTTGGTACTTGCTCTGCCACCTCTGTACTCTCCTGTGGTCCTCAAGTATTTTGTGGATGATGAGGATGATGCCAACCATAAAAACTAACAGCACTAAAATGTACCAAGTGATCTTCACAGAACAAGTGACAGCTGTAAAAAAAAATTTTTTTTTTAAAATTAGGCACTATAAAAGTCAATAAAGGTGGCAAGCATAGGCACTCACCAGCCCTCTGAGTCCTACCCCTAAAAGTCACATGGAGAAAGGACAGAACCCACTCCTGCAGGTCGTCCTTTGACCTCCACTCGTGTGCCATGGCACCCATGCACACACAAAGAAATATATACAAAATAAAAAAATTCAGCGCAATGAGATAATCGCGCACCATGAGATCGCACATCAGATAAGAGGCCAAGCGGTGGTGTGTGCCTTTAACAGACAAGCTATTTGCTGCTTTAACTGTAACAGGGACACTTGCTCTCCTGAACACTTTTCCAATATATTAAATGAAGCTACTAAATGAGGAAATTGGCCACGTAGCTCCCAGGGATCCATTTAATACAAAATCCTGGCATTTAATTTCACTTCCAGGTGATGCCAATATCAATTTTCTTATTGTACATCAAGAGCGCCACAAAGTAGCCTTAGATGCAGAGCTGTGTGCGATTAATCATCTTGGTCATGGGCCACACAGCCCCCAAACATGCCCTCAAATTAACAAAGGTGCGGCAGGAGCAAGGGAGATGGGGAGCAACGGGAAGGCTGAGACAGAGAACCGGGCTGAGCTGATGAGCGGTCAGGGAGATGAGCGGTCAGCCCTGGTTTCTGCCAATGTTACAGCCTGGATGGAAAATGTCCCCAGACACTGCTGTGATTGAACTGTTGATCCCCAGCTGATCGTATCATTTGAGGAGGTTACACCTTATATATCGATGTTTGCTGTAAGCATAATTTAAAAATATTAACTGCCTTTAAAATGATTCAGCTTTAGGAAAGCATTCTAAAGTGATGGGAAAAGCTTCCATTCTTTTGGAGTACCAAAATGCCCAGCAAATAGTTCTGTCGTGGCACCTGCAGCTCCAGGGGGCCACTTGTTTCTGTGTGATTCCTTTCTCTGGTTTTATGTTCGTCTGACTCTGGGCCCCCATCCAGGCCTGGTGCTTGACATACAGAAGGCACTCACTAAATTACTATATCATAAAATGCCTTCTAATAATAGATTTTATGAGTGAGGTGAGGGCACACTGCTTGGCAGAAAATATTAACTGTGGGGTTCAGAACAGGGTGCAAGGAACTTAATAAGCCTTGAGCAGAATTCAAATGTCTGAGCTTCCCCCTCAGAAACAGCAGTGACCCCCCAAGTGCCTACTCTGCACAGCATCACATCAGAGAGCTCTGCTCACCCAAGCTGTGTCAGCTCTGAGAGGATGTGTTAACCTGGCCCAAAGGCAACTTTAATAGTGCATCATGTGTGGACATTCACCTTTTAAGAGAACTCCCACCTCTGAGTACTGAGGGGTATTGGCTTTCCATCAAGCACAGACACCAGGCATGCTGTGGGTATCCTAGGAGAGAGGACCCTTCTAGGGTTCCTCAAATCACAACCCAGACATACCGCCTCTGTCTCGGGTTATGGCTGAGTCCCACAGAAACACATTTGGAAAGAAAAGCAAATGGTATTGTTTCAGCCGTGAAACTCTTTAGCTATTTGACCACTGGTGACTTTCACAGCCCTTTCTTAATTTTATGTACAGATACCCAGCTTCTCCTTTTCCCTCTGATCCTTTCAAACTTACGTTTCACAGCCATTTCTAGGCTCATGGAAATGTGAGTGCAATTACTCGTGTTTCCCATAATCCCGCAAGTGTGGTTTAGAGAATCTTCCTTGGTTGGCTCTTCATCTATGGTTGTGGAATTTCCAGGGTGGGTTTCAGGGGTACAGGTAGTGTTGTATTCCCTCGCGGCGTCAACTAGAAGAGCGACAGTGACGTTGAAAAGCTGACAAGGTGAGTAAACGTCATTTGCCTTCACCTCCATTGATCCCCTCATGATAAGACCTAGAAAGAGGTTGGTTAAGAAGGGTTATTTGCAGAGTGTCTAATAAGAAAACACAATCCAGAGCCAAGTCTCACTGGTGCTGTCAGAACCACGGTCGGATATGACCTGACACCTGTCAGTGTGACTTCTATAACCAACATAAACAGTACCGTTGAAGGCTGTGGGGAAGTTGGAGTCCTTGTCCTGATAGCGGGGAGTGGGGGGGTGGGGGGGAGGGGTGAGGGAGTGGGGGTGGGCGGGGGAATGATCCATTCAGTTTGGGAAATAGTAAATAAGTTCCTCCAAAACTGAGCAATCTAAACACCATTTACTCCAGCAAGCTCACTTTCTGGTACATACCCAAAAGAGATGAAATCAGGATCTCGAAGACATAGTTGTATTCCCACAGTCTTAATAGCTAAAATAGGGAAGCCACCTGAATGTCCATTGAGACAAATGCGTAAAGAAAAAGTGAGCTCTGGAGAGATGGCTCAGCAGTTAGGAGCACTGACTGCTCTTCCAGAGGACCCGGGTTCAATTCCCAGTACCCACATGGCAAATCACCTCCTGTGTAACTCCAGTCCCAGGGAATCCAATGCCTTCTTCTGGCCTCCGTAGGCACAGATTAAAAACAAAACACTTACATAAATAAATAAATGTTTTTTAAAAAGAAGATCTTCACTCTTGTAGGTGACTATGTGAAGAGGGAGACCTCAGCTGTCCCCAGCTGCTCTGGTTCCCCTGGAATGTTGCATCTATTCACTAATTGCCACAGCATGAAACGCCCCAAGCCTGAAAAAGCCCATCTGTACCCACTCCGAGTTTCTCATCCAGAGGAAGAGAGGAAGCAGAAGGCGGGGGTCAGGGGAGAACTAAGATGAAGAAGAGCAGAGAAGAGGGAGAAGAGAAGAGAAAGGAGGAGGGGATTGCTGCATTTCAAGCCACTGTCCATGGGGGGATTTGTTACGCAGCCGGAGTGACTGGGACACACTTCAAAGCCCTGTTCACTTATGTTTGAGGCAGCAGAGCAGTGACGTCTACCAGCCACCTGCTTTTAAAAGGCTTCCTAGTCTTCCATCATCGTAGAGGTATTGCCCCAACTTGTTTTCTGTAGACTCAGGGCAGAATCTTTGGATGGTTGTAAGACTACAGGAGTAAGAATTTTGCCCAAAGTCAATGCTGAGAAATCATGTCCCTCTTCTCAAAGAATAAAAAAAGTTCAGTAACTAGTGAGACAGGAACACTTCTGCTGAATAGTCGATGTTGATGATGATGATGATGATGATGATGATGATGAAGATGAAGATAATGATGAAGAAGATGATGGTGGTGGTGGTAGTGGTGATCTGATATTGAGGCTTGAGGCCACCAGCATATTTTACAACTGTAACAGAATTGTTTGTTTCTCAGTGATCAATTTGATTCAGTTGAACTAACTACATCACTTATGTGGATCTCATAACACACGTGCCCTTTTTGCTTTCTGTTGCTGTGATTAAACACCATGACCAAAAGCAACTTGAGTTTATTTAGCTTACAGGTTACAGTCTATCACTGGGGGAAGCCAGGGCTGGAGCTCAAAGCAGGGACCTGCAGGCAAACACTGAAGCAGAGGCCATGGAGGAATATTGCTTACTGGCTGGATCCCCCTGGCTTGCTCAGTTACCCTTCCTATGTAGTTCAAACTACCCAAGTAGGGACTATACCACCCACCATGGGCTGGACCTGCCACATCAATTAGTAATTAAGAAGATGCCCCACAGACATGGCCGCAGGCCAATCTGAGCGGGGCAATTCTTCAGTTGAGGTTCCCTCTTCCCACGTGACCAGGTTTGTATCAAGTTGATAGTGGAAGCTATGATGACATGCAATGCCCCATTAGCCGCTGCACAGAATGTATCGTTATCCTTTTGTTTGATCCTTCCTTCATTCAACAAATATTTATTGAGTATCTACTATGATTTACATCAGGCATGATGCCGAAAGGAGGGATACGGTAGTAAACAAAGGCAAAGACATTACCCTCAAGAGGCCCATTGAAGAGCCAGACAAAATGACAACTCATATTCAGTGGGCCAATGCTTAGGTATTTACTTAGAATTGCCTTTTAAACAATCACTATCTTCGAAACGAACATCAGCTATCCTTTTAGCTAGCAAATGCATATGAACTACACTGGCATTCTGAGGGATTTTATGAATAAGCATTTTGTTTTCAATAAATTAAACTAGAATTGATCAACATTACAAAGCCCTATGAAATCTCTCATCAAAAGACACACCACTGAGTGTTCCGGTGCCCCTAGATGTTAAAACGGAATGCTTGTGACAGGGGTAGGGAGTGGGGGTGTGTGTGCACAGTACATTCAGCATGCAGATGCGTACAAAGGTCAGAAGACAACCTGGATGTCATTCCTCAGGTGCCTTTGCCTTCTGTCTGAGACAGGGGCTTTCGTTGACCTAGAACTTCACCAAGTAGCCTCAGCTGTCTGGCCACTGATCTTCCAGAGATCTGCCTGTCTCCACCTCCCACCTCAGCATCTCTGGGATTACAAGCAGGCTCTCCAGCATTCCAGCGTTTCCTTTATTTTTCTTTAATATTTATTATGCATCTCTGTTCACATATGTATACATAAGTGCAGTGCCTACAGAGACCATAAGAGTGTATCAGATCCCCCAGAGCTAGAGTTACAAGTAGTTGTGAGATGTTTGATGTGAATGCTGGTCCTTTGAAAGGTCTCAACTGCTGAGCCATCTCTCCAACCTCTGTGCCCACTTTCTTTTTTCTTTTTCTCTTTCTCTTCTTCTTCTTCTTCTTCTTCTTCTTCTTCTTCTTCTTCTTCTTCTTCTTCTTCTTCTTCTTCTTCTTCTTCTTCTTCTTCTACTCCTTCTCCTCCTCCTCCTCCTCCTCCTCCTCCTCCTCCTCCTCCTCCTCCTCCTCCTCCTCCTCCTTCTTCTTTGGGGGGTTGGTTTCTCGAGACAGGGTTTCTCTGTGTATCCCTGGCTGTCCTGAAACTCACTCGGTATACCAGGCTGGCCTCGAACTCAGAGATCAGTCTGTATCTGTCTCTGCCTCCACAGAGCTAGCATTAAAGACGTGCACCACCACTGTCCATCCAGCCTCATGCCCAGTTTTTATGTGGGTTCTGGTGTTCAAACTCAGTTCTTTACATTGTAGGATGAGAAATGCTTTAGCAACCAAGCTATCTCTCCAGCCCTGGGATGTTTTTTTCAGAATGACTTCATTTAGACTTAGCAAATGTTACTCTATTCCTTCGTGTTTACCTTTTGATGTTTGTTCCTGAGAAGTGAAATCTCCGTTGGATTTGCAAACCAAACACAAAGAGCACATCGAAAATCCCCTTGTGATGCCTTGGCAAATCTCAGCGAAGCTTGGGGAACTGGAGTAGTTTGGAAAGACTCCCATAACAGTCTGTGTTTCCTCTGCCGGTTGCAGAGAAGCCACAGAAGAAAAATTGAAGGAGGGAAGCGGATAGGTGAGATTGGGCAGCAAACACACTTCCCAGCAGGCGAGCTCTTGTGTCCTTTCTGCAAAGAAAACAAAAAACAAAAAGTTCTCTTTAGATGTGGATTTTGAGGTTTTGACATTTAAATAAACATAAAGTAAGCTCTTCATTGTTCAGGCAGATGATGGTCTGTCTGTGACAATGTTTGTTCTTACATGAATTAGTATCTATTCCATTGAAGCATTTTGTTTTTAAACTTATTAATTTTCATAGAACAAATATCCATGTAGGGAGGTAACTAGAAACAACAGGATTTTAGTCATCCTCTGTTCTGGAACTTCTTAAAGTGTGTGTGTGTGTGTGTGTGTGTGTGTGTGTGTGTGTGTGTGTGTGTGTGTGTGTGTCTGTGTCTGTGTCTGTGTCTATGTGTGTCTGAGTGTGGTGTATGTGTGTGTCTGTGTGTGTCTATGTGTGTCTATGTGTGTCTGAATGTGGTGTATGTGTGTATCTGTGTGTGTCTATGTGTGTGTGTGTGTGTGGTGTGTGTGTGGTGTATGTCATGTGTGTGCCCATGAAGGCCAGAAGAATGCATAGGAACCCCTGGAAAAGTTAACTTGGGTCCCCTGTAAGAACAGTAAGTAAGCACTCTTAGCCACCAATCAATCTCTACAACCACTGGGGAGAAAACTGACAGATAAATCTTCAGTTTTTCTGAATCTCTCCATTTTAAAATAGTCAATTACATGGATCTGAAGAAGGGAGAGAAAATTCTGTGTTTGTTTCCTAAGTCTGCTAGAGCAAAGTGCCACAACCTTGGCTGTTGAAAATAAGAAAAACTTTCTCCCGGTGTGAGAGGCCAGAAGTTCAATGTTAATGTCACTAGTCAGAAATCCCGAAGTCTACAAGCTTTGAAGTCACCAGAAGAGTCTTCTTCTTGAGTGTCTTCTAACTTCCGGTGGTTGCCTGCATTTCTTGGCTTCTGTACAGACACCACTGTCTCTGTAATCACAGTGCTTTCTCCTGTGTCCCTGCTTCCTTCTCTCCTGGCTCTGACAGAGTTCCCTTTGACTCTGTGTGTCAATCAGGGTTCTCTAGAATAACAGAACTGACAGAATGTCGCTGATAGAATGACTCTGTGTGTGTGTGTGTGTGTGTGTGTGTGTGTACTGATAGAGTGTATACATACACAGATATAGAACTGATAGAATGACTATATATATATGAACTGATAGAATGTATACATACATAGATACAGAATTGATAGAATGACTATATATATGAACTGATAGAGAATGTATACATACATAGATACAGAATTGATAGAATGACTATATATATGAACTGATAGAGAATGTATACATACATAGATATAGAACTGATAGAATGACTATATATATGTATATATATGAACTGATAAAATGTATACATACATAGATACAGAACTGATAGAATGACTATATATGTATGTATGTATGTATGTATGTATGTATGTATGTAAGATTTGTTAGAGTGGCTCACAGGCTGTGGTCCAGCTAGTCCCACAATGTTTACTGATGGGGAGTCCAAGAATTCAGCATCTGTTCAGTCCACAAGGCTGGATGCCTCAGCTCGTCTTCAGTATGTGCCAGCATCCCAAAGGAGTAGGCTCTAATGCCAGGGAAGGAGTAGACTTGCCAGTGAGAGTGGGAGCGAGCAGGCAGAGAGAGCAAGCTTCCTTCTTCCAGGCCCTTTATATAGGCAGATTTAAGGTGGCTCTTCCCACCCCAGAAGGTCCAGATTTAGGGTAGGATTTCCCTAAACTTTTTTCAATCAAGAAAAGTCCCTCATAGGTATGCCCAGCAGCTTAGGCTTTGGTTACTTTCAGACACAGTCAACTTGACAACTAAGAAGGGCCGTCACAGCCGCTTTCTTATCAGGACATTTGTGATTAAACATCATGCCCACATGCATGACTCAGGATATCAAAATTGTTAAGCACATTTGTAAGCACCCTGTTTCCTTACAAGGCAGCATTGCAGGATCTAACACTTAACACTTGTCTATTATTTGGCCTCCCAGAAAGTCTTTAGAACAGTGGTTCTCAATCTTCCTAATGCTGGGACCCTTTTGTAGAGTTCCTCGTGCTGTGGTGACCCCAAGCATAAACTTACTTTCATTGCTACTTCATAACTGTAATTTTGCTGCTGTAAATGAATCATAAAGTAAACACCTGTGTTTTCTGGTGGTCTTAGGTGACCCCTGTGAAAGGGTCATTGGACCCACAAAGGGGCCAAGCCCCACAGGTTGAGAACCATTGTTTAGAATGTTTTGTTCCCAGCCATGGGTGAGCAGTTCTTCTCTGTCATGTGTTTCTGTTAGGACACAGTTCCTCACCACTCTGGATTGTTTAAATGCAGGCCTTTGGGGCTGGAGAGGCGGTCCAGCCATTAAGAGCTAAACTAAAGAGCTAACTGACTACTCTTCCAAAGGACCTGGGTTCAATTCTCAGCATCCACGTGGTGACTCACAACCATCTGTAGTACCAGTTCCAGGGGACCTGACATCCTCTTCTGGCCTCTCTGGGTACCAGGCATGCACGTGGTGCACATACATACATGAAGGCAAAACATCCATATACATAAGATAAAGTAAAAACTTCAAAAATGTTAAATGTAATCCTGTATTCCAGATTAAAAATTTAAAAAATGTGGAGGGGCCAAGCTAATCTGCACCCACATGACAGCTCACAACTGTCTGTAACTCCAGTTCCAGGGGATCTGACATCCTCACACAGACATACATGCAGCAAAACACTAATGTACACAAAATAAAAGTAAATAAATAAATAAATTTAAATGTACCGGTTGCCTGGGGTAGGGATTCTCTGTGACTGAATCAGTATAAACAAATCCAAGCTAATGGTGTAATTGAGAAGGATCATTTGACAGTGAGGAACAAGCAAGTAGGTAACGCATCTTCCATTAGTGACTGATATTAAAGGCATTTTTAATTAGTGAAGCTTGTATTTTAATAGTAATTCCATAAGCATTTGATTATTAGTGATTTTTAATATGATTTAATAAATTAGATGCTCAGATCCTAGCCCTCTATATTTAAAACTATTTCTCTAATCATTCACATGTAGTTTCCAACTGTGAAGAAATTTCAAAACTGAGTAGCTAATAAAGGTTTTTCTCGGAGGAAACGGATTGTATTCAAATAAATTTTATCTGGTGTAATATACTTATAATAAAAATCGTAATGAGTTTGTAACTACAACATAATATTGCCTTCAGTAACAATGTCAAAGGAGGAAAACGGAACTGTACCCACTGATCGAGCACACTCACTTATAGTTTTTCTCAGTATTACTAAAACACATGAAAAACATATTTCCTGTCACCTTCCCATCTTGCTCACTGGCACTTTAATCTTGTGAAATTTTTAGCTTCTTGAATTCATATTGCTGTGACATGACCTAGAAAGGAGAGTGGAGAAATTCTTGCTGTCAATATTGCAGTCTTCTTATTCAATAAGCAACCAGCCGGGCTTCCTAGAATCGAAGATATGCCTTTTATATTTGGATATCGGGTCACTTTATGAGGTTTTAAACCCTCAATCTTAAATAATTCTATTGGAAAAGGAATAAGTAGAGGACACGGCCTTTCTTGGTATAATTTTAAGAAATAAATCATTCTCCCCAAACACTTTAGTCATCAGGCAGGCTATATCCTCATCTCCATAAATTTTGTGAACTTAACTACCTCCATTAATATTCCTGGAGTCAGACAGATGTCTACCTGCCCACTCTGAGAGATGCAAATGCACCCCAGGATTACTTTAGTACCAAGTCGGCACCTTCTCTGAGGAAGCATGCAGAATCCTAAATAGAGCTAGGAAAACACATGACAGAGTAGGACAAAGGTCCTGGTCAATTATTTTCTCCTTTTCAAAGACAAGCAAACCGGAACACTAAAGAATTGTATTCCCCCTCCCTTAATTTTTACAGTAAGAACATATCACACATATATTTGTACAAGATGTTTCATGCAAGATGCTTTCATTAAAGAATAAAAATAACACCAAGCAGTGGTGGTGCAAGTGTTGGTGGCGCACACCTTTAATCCCAGCACTCGGGAGGCAGAGGCAGGCAGATCTCTGAGTTCGAGGCCAGCCTGGGCTACAGAGCGAGTTCCAGGACAGCCAGGGCTACACAGAGAAACTGTGCCCCCCAAAAAAATAAGAATGAAAATAAGTAAATATTAGTATCACAGTCCCCAAATTAAGAATCAAGCTGTTGCTAACACCTTCAGAGCATTCTCACTACCCCCCTGCACCACAGAATATTTTGGGAGCATACAAATGTCTAGCATTACAATATGCACTCTGCTGTGGTTTGCTTTTTTTTCTTAATATGTTTTAGTCATGTTAGTTTTACACAACCGTAGTTAATTTGTTGTGTCTTATGAATGAATATATTACATAATTCATCCATCTCTTTGACAGTGAACATTTGGGTTGTTTCCATTTTCAAAATAATGCTGCTCTGAAGTATAACTAACTTTCATACATTACTGATAGGAATGCAGAAATAGCACAGCCACATTGGGGGCAGACCTCCTTTTTCTTATGAGTTAAATATATGCTCACCATACGGACCCCGAATTTCACTCCTAGGAATTTACACACACAAATAAAAACATACCCACTCGGTAGGATGCTTCTGTTTCACCGGCACATGAGTTTTTATGGTAGCTCTTGGATGTTATAAGAGTCGAGAACTGGAAACAATCCACATTTCCAGCAAAGAGTGAAATCTAAAAACAACTCCGGACATACGATGGAATGTCACTCAGTGCCCAAGAGAAGGAACTAAAGTAGCAACACAGGTGAATCATAGCAGTGTTGTTTGTTTTGTTTGTTTGTTGCCAAATCTAATACGCCACACAAGTGTCTATGCACCACATGATTCCGTTTCTATGGGATTTGGGAAAAATGCACAGTAGTGGTGGTCGAGGGGCTCTTATGAGATGGAGCAAGACAGGGCTTCTTGGCGAGATGGAAAGTTATGTCTTAATTGTGGTTAAGATGTGGTAGTGAAAT